TGAATCCATTTTATTTGGTACCCTTCTCACACGATTGGGAAAGACTAGTGTCGTATGAATACTTTGCCCAACTGAATGGTGAATCAGCAGGTCAATGATGAGGTCATATCAAGACCTCCCGAAAAGCTCTTCGTTGTTGTTTTGGTTGGGTTGGGTTTTGTGCTTAGGCGTCTGAACAGGTTTTGTGATGCAGCATGCAGTTTCAGTACGTGTCCCTCAGTTCAGATTTATTGCTGGTTGGCGCTGTCAAAGATTTTGACTCTCTGACAGCAACGATACTCGGTGACAGACCCTTTTCTGGCAGGTTTAGCAGAGTTGCCAGTGGTTGGATCGGACACAGACACTGGCCTGTGCTTTCAGCCCAGGGATAATATCTTAGCCTTGGGGCTGAACAGTGCGTGCATGAGCTTGTGTGATACCTTGTTAGGGAAAACAGGTTTGCGTCAGGCAAACCTAATAAATCATGGGATTTAATCAGAAGGATAGGGCCAGACACAGGCGAAACAAAACCTGTGGTAGGTTTTATCCTGGTAGACAGGCCTGAAGTGCCCGTAACTGCTTGCTTTGCTTCTCCTGTAGCTTCAGATGCCACTGGCTCATAGCAGAGGGTGGTCCTGTGTGCTATGAAATCAAGTGACTGATCCAAACCACAGCAGGTACTCACGTGGAAATGAGACCTTAGTCTCTGGGCACAGCTCCCCAAGTGCAGTCATCAGTGCTCGCACACCAGCGCCCAGGAGAGGAGTTTGCAAAGCAAAGCAAGGGTGCAGAAATGCTTCTCCTTTCCCCGTTACAGACTGGAAATTAACGTTTGCGCCATAATCCTAAAGTTGCACGGAGGTCTGTAAAATGGAGTCTGTCCCACATTTGTCTGGTTACACTTGACACTGAAAAGATAGCAGCGTTTCCTCCTGCTGCCCCAATGATGGGAGAGGGCAGGGGGCCTGGAGCACGGCGGCTAACATGAGCGCAACACTGACGACAGCGTCCTGGCAATCAGAGTGCTAATCCTTTCCATATTTCCGAGGTGCCTGTCAGTAGGGATTTCTGATGGACCGATGCTCTAGGAATAGAGCCTATTTCTAACTTACAGTGGGCTCCACATGATACCCCCCCTTGCCAACCCCTCGCACAAGATAAATAATTGTTTTGCGCTTCTGCTTCCTGTCAATGGTACTATTCTTGCGACCATTCCCAGCCCCGATGCTCGGTCTGCCGGCCAGCAGGTGCGGGAAGCTCAGCGAGGGTGGTCCAGGCTCGGCACGCTCTGAGAGAGTGTATCCTGTGTTTCTCAATAACAGCCTCTCCAACCGGCGGATGAGCCCCAGAGGGAGTCCTAGACAGTCCTGCGTTGGGCAGAAGAAGTTGGCAGCGACACAGGGCCTCAAGGATGGAGTTTATAAAGCCGGGAAAAAGTCCCCTCCTGTGGCGCGATGCTCAGTGCCAAGGCCATCATCCTTCCAGCCAAAGCGGGCTGGATGGGGCTCCTCTAAGAGCCTGTCAGCCCCTTTCATTAGGCAGCTGGAGGGGCTGCCGCTGAGTGATGCACGGCACCTCCTTCCACCCCATGCTTGCTCCCTGCCAGCTGGGGGAACAAGAGGCCGGGATTAGAAATCAAACTCCAGGTTTTCTGCATGACTGTGAGGGCATATTAGCGTTAGACCCCCCCTTCTTATTTTTTTTTTTAAATAAATATTTTCTATTTGGCTTTTCCCAGCATTGGTGGTTTTGTTCTCGCCCCCCTCCCCATTCCCATTCCCCTCCCTCCGCCAGAGGCGTGGGTACCCAGGGGATTGTTCTGCGTGGAGCAGAGGCCTGGATGTGGGTTTCGGGGTTTTGTCCGTCTCATTACAGCGAATGCATCACCTGCATGACTCAGTCATTCTTCGGCTGCCTGGGGAGAGAGGCCTTCAAGAGCAGTTGCAACAATAATCCTGTCTCATTACAGCACATGGCACTGCCGCTGTGAAAGTAGGCAAGCTAGCAGATCTCCTTCTTAGAAAATACCAGTCTAGCCGTGCAGAAAAACTACCTTCTATTACTGGGTAGTCAACGCTATATTGTGGACGTCTGTAGATGGGGTAATTTAAATCACAGTAATTAAAATGAAAAAGTGATGCCAGGACAGTGCAATACCCTTTTCCTTCATCTAGTGTCTATTGTGGAAAGAGAAATTACAAAAATCTCTGTTGATGAAAAAAATAAAATCAAAACAGATTCTGCAGTCCGGGGCAGACTAAATATTTGTGAAAAGCAAATGTGCAAACCCCTCGTATTTCTCTGCATTTGTCCAATGATTTTTTTCCCCTGCATTTGGGGAAAGATGCTCAAACTGGATGCACTCAGTGGGCCCTACTTTAAGTCACTGGCTCGGTTTGCTGCTGTCGTGGCCTGCCGTGCTCTTCCAAACACCAGCCTGTCCTTTGGAGTTTCCTTCATGCCTGAGCTGCTTCTGGTGAACATCCACTCTTCGAATACAAGGGCTGGACTAAGTTTAGGTAAAGGTTTAGTAAATCCCCTCCGTAAGGAAGAGCTGCAAACTGTCACTGGCGGCTCTTCCTGTAAATCCGTCTATAAATCCATCTAGGACCACTGGGAGCCATACCACCCTATTATAGCCTTTGTCCTGCTACAGCCACCATCGAGTGGCACCATAAATCTGCTCCTCTCTGCCCACCCTGTGGCCCCAGCTTCCCTGGGGGCTTTACCCTTTGCCCGCTCCCAGGGCACAGCTGAGGAGCTCCCTGGGGCCGCGTGGGGTCCTCCATACGGGGTCCTCCTGGAGCAGGAGTTCGGCTCGCTCCCACTCCCGAGCGGGGGCCAGAACAGCACCGCCGTACTTTAGAGGATTCGCTGCAGGAACCTCCTCCCAAACAGCAGATGTCCTTGCCAAAGAAGGGTAGTCAAGCTTATGTTTTCTGTAAGAAAGATGTTTCCTGAATGATTAGATTTTTTTTTTCTCCGACTCTCTGTATTAAAATATTTTTTAAAAAAAGAGAAAGTATTACTTCACACATGTGGCTGTGTAGTTTAAATATAATTAAAGGGAAACTAGTCTTTTTTTCTTCCACTAAAGGGTTGCATTTATACATTTTAATACGAAGATATGCTCAGTAGGGAGCAGGAGCCTATCATTGGCTCCTACTGCAGGCAACACAAACTGCAAATCTAAAAGAAAGGGCTACGGCACAGAAAGGAGGAAGCGAATTTCAGATGCAGAGGGAGAATACAAGTATTTAGACCATATCTGTAGCTATAAAGCTAGAGATAAAAGGCTTTTTCCTTTATATTTTCTTTTTATTGTTTTTTATAGTGCAGTACAATACAAACATTACAACCTGGCTGACTCCTGCAGAGATGCCAGGCACTAGCATCGTGTCCAAAAATTAGCTTTATACATATGCTAAATTAAAGATTGGCAGCCGCAGCAGCACAAATGCCATATTGGCAGCAGTTTGCAAATCCCACGTTGGCAGTCTTCTCCACATGAAAGAAGAGAGGAAATACAAAGGGCAAAAAGCCCAAGAGACTTTCTCTAGCGAATAGCAGCGAGTGGAACATAGAAACTATCTGCAGGGAAAAAAACCCTCCAAATTACTGAAGATAAAAGAATAAAGCTGAATCTGTGACAAGCTCAACCAAGGGCCCATTTACACCTTTTGGAGAAAGAGCCATTAGTAAGCAAACATTATTTTGGTGGGAAGGGTGGGAGTCAGGCACTGGGCTGAGGACGGCACCAAGGGGTCTGGGTCCTTCCCTGACACTTGTGTAAAGCTCCATTTAAATCTTTTAAATAGGCTGTTGCTAAATATTGGACCTAAAGCATTGGACCTAGAGTTATTTGGGTTCTCCTCTACAAATTGTATATTTTGAGCTATCTGTAGAAAAAAAACTTAATTGTATTTTTTATGAACCAATCAAAATTGTCATTGCTTTTAATTCATTAATCTGAACATCTGTATTTTCATGTTACTTCTGTTTATAACTGCGTTCAGGGTGCATTTCACAACAAGTAGTTTCTCTTACATGCGTGGTTGGCAGCGGTTCCTTCTAGGTCTGCTCAGTCGGGATGGATTACTTGGCTCCGTCAACCTGCACACCTATGTTATTTTGGCTGGTGTTGCTTCCTTCTTGAGAAGTTCCTGCAGCTGCTAATTTACCGTGAGCAGTAAATCCTTCCAATGCTTTGACTTGCCCGGATTTTAGAAGTCACACGTCTTGTTTTCAGGGTAGATACCTGAACTTGTACAAAGATATGTAGTAGTAAGTGGCTGTGTAAAGGTAAAAGAAAAGGAAGAGCCACAAGTTAAGATAAATCACCTAGTAGTTCTAACGCTCGGCTGTATCAAAAGCTGGGTGCCAAAATGGGTGGGCAGAGAAGCGGAATTTGAATTTTTCCAGAGCTTTTTGTTTAGTGCCTATAAACGCTTCAGCTTATTTCATGAGCTTCCAAACCCAAATCTTTGGTCTAGAACAAGACATGATTTTTCTTCCCTTCCCCAGAAGGGAATCTGTAGTGAATCAAAGAGCAGCAAACGATAGAGGTTTAATTTCTTTCCATCTGTGTGCCGCCTGTCAGGTCTCACCACTCCCGTAGCCAACTGCTTCCCAAGCCAATCATTCCCAGGCCAGCACTGCAGGATCTAACGCGCTGCTGAGTCAGTGGATGCAGCTCTGGATCAGGCACCTCCGCTGAGCAGGGCAAGGCACATGGTCCAGTGGTTTTGCCAGCGTGGGACATCGGTCTGGTGCACGGCATCCCCTGCCCCGTTGCATTTGACTTGCCCACCCGCTGCAGTGTGGGGCACTGGCCACCAGGTCAGATAACCTGCCAAAGAAACTCTGTGCCATTTTCAGGATGCCATTTGCTTTTCAGCAGCCCACAAGCCACAGAAGCGCGTGCCAGGGGACAGCAAAGACCCTATAAGTGGGAGCAGAGCTGTGCTCGGAGTCCCTAGCCCCAAGTACCATCTTCTGTGCTGTCCAGACCACGCACCATTGCTGCAGGTGGAGCTGGGCTTACAGAGCACTCCAGTGTCTGTCCTGCAGGAGTGGGCAAGGACAGGAGGTCCAGCAACACCACGAGGGCTCAGCAGCAGAGCAAGAGCTGCAGGATGAGAAGGACTATGTACATAGCAAAGGAGGAATGAAAACACTGCCATGGCCACCTTTCCAGGTGATTGGTGATTGCCCAGCTTTCTCTTCTGGTGCTACCTTGCTTGCCTTGGGCTTTCCAGCTCCATCAAGAGGTGGGATCTAAAGGCTGGACATGGGATTTTACGAAGGAGAAAGTGTTGTTCCTGTATTATTCATTAGCTGACCTCTGCTAATCATGTCCTAGACAAAGGCCCTTATGTTTTCCACTGAGGCACCCACTGTAGCCTGGCTGTGCTCCACGCTCATGGTGGCTTTCTCTGCCAAGTCTGATTTTGCACATTCACTCTGTTGAGTCTTCTCTCACCACTGCAACCCTGGTGTTGTTCCCAGGCTTTCTCTAGAGCCTCTAGGACCAGCTGTGTCCTTGAGTTGTCTGGCTTTGACTGCAGATGCCAAGATGCTTCAAACAAGAAAAATTATCAAGTAGCACGTTCCAAGCAAATCAAAAAGCAGCTCTGTTTCACACAATGCATAGTTAGGCTCTTTTTCCTCTCAACAGTGTGGAGCATCAGTCCAAAAAGGAACAGACCACATTCATGAAAGAATCCAGTCAAGGACTATTAAACACAATGACACTGCGTCTCGTTCCAGGGATCCCTGATCCAGTGTAGGTAAAAGGGGGACGTTTCTTCATACTCCTGGGAACAGAGAATTTTTGACAGCCTCAGTGGAAGATGAATGGATCAAGAACAGATTCCAATGTACAGGAGGGTGAGGAAAGGGAGCTTAGATTCACTTTTTGGTGATCAGTCTGACCATCTGAAGGCACCACACAGATCAGAGGATGTGACTCGGATCCATGCTCTTCTTAGGCTGACGTGTGCACATCTTTGCTCATGCCAAGCGTACCCTTATTCTGTTATTGGATACTGTGCCTGTAGTGCATTAAACCATAAAAGCATAGATTTGCGCAGGATTCTCTAGAAAAGCTTGCTGTGCTGGGAACTTCTTTTTGTTATCTCAAGCTCAGGTTTGATTTTTACAAATCCTGATGCATTAGGTGAAGTTCAGAGGATGATCTGTAATTATGTATGGGCTTTGCTGTATGAAATTCTCTCACAAAATCAATACCATGTGCTTCATGACACATGCCTTGGGGAGGGCAAGCCCGTAAGGAGAAAGGCCCACCAAGCAGCAAGAGTTTAGCAAGGAAACTGTAGACCCTGTGCTTGGGCCAGGGCTCTTCAGGAGTCTGCAAGACTAACAGAGCTATGTAGGTGTGCATATGTGTGCATGAGAGAATGGAGCTGCAAAAAGTTACCTTTTTGCTCAGTACTTCTTGACATGTTCAGAAAAAACTGTGAAACAAAGGGCTTGCAAACTCTGCTTCCACCCTGAGGGCTGTGGAAGTCAGGCTGATTTCTGAACATCTTGCGAGGTTCCCTCTGGACATCTCTTCTCCATCTATGGTGCGGTCATTGACCTCTTCTGGAAAGAACTGAGTTGTCCTCAGTCAAAGGATGACTGCTTCTCCAGGGAATCTCTTGTTGCATTTGCACTTGTGTCTGTGTCCTTGCCTGGACACTGGGAAGCTCATTGTACTGCTAACCTTGAATTTCTTTTATTGCCCTTGACCATCTTGTAGGTTTAGTTCAGAGCTTTCCCTTGATTGCCTCCAGTGTCCTAAAGCATGTGCATGGCAATGTCCTGGGCTCTCCCTGGTTGCCTGTGTGTGGCTGCTGCCTTCACAACACAAGTGTCTTCAGTGCCCTGACCAAACGTTAGTGTTCCCTGGAAATACCACTGTTGGCACACAGTCTCCATCACATTTGGCTGAGGTCATGAGCTCAGGCCCAACACAGGTGACCAGCAGCACTGTGCTACTGTTTGGTGTGGTTGACTTGGGCTCTGGTGTCTTGGGAGCAAGTGAGTCAGTTCAGGTGTTTTGCAGTGGGCAACAAAAGGTGAAGGTTAAGCCAACTTCCTCTTGAATCTTCACGGACCTGCACGTAAGGGGGAACAACCACATCCAAGGGATAACCAGGAACCATAGCTTTGGAGCACCGGTTGTGGAAAGGGGATGCGAAGAGACACATGAAAAGTCCATGGTTAGCTGAGGGAAGTCCAGTCATTTTTCTGCATGTCCACAGCCTCTGATCTGGGCTGAAGCTACCCTTCCAGAAAGTATGAATAGCCTTCACCTGGCGGAAGGACCTTATGCTGTGTCAGTGCTTTGCAACATGTGGTCAAAACAATTTTAAAATCTTGGATTAGGTGCTTCAGCTATGAGACACACTTTCCCACTGACAACAGCTTTACTTTTTGCAACTTCTTCATGGTACTTACCCCAAATGCTAATGATGCTTCTTTTTTACTGCATTCAAGAACTTACCACTTTCAGTGGAGTATTACCATGCTTAAATTATCTGTACGTGCCTTCCATCTTAATCACAGTTAGGCCAAACAATATGTATTTATCTCTTTTCACCTCTCTTTTTCAGCTTGCTCCTTCTTGCTTCCGCACATATTTCTATTTATTACAGTCTTTCTGATGACAAAGTGCCCAGAATTAAAAATAACCGCAGACTGGCAGTGCTGTTGTTGCAGAGCTGCACAGAGATGGAGGTGAGCCGGTGCAGCTCCGTTGGCTGTTTTGTCACTACTGGGCTGTCACACGGCACATCCCTTTCTCATTTGCCGTCCCTGGTTAGCCGCACTGCCGCTTCGGCTTTGTCTGTCTCACTGACGGTCCGGGGCTTTGAATTTGGTTTTTATCCTTAGCTCTTTTGTGTTTAGTTCTCATCCTCTCACACCGCTTTTGATTTTTTTCATGTTAGGGTCGCTAGAAAATTTTTACTGGGGTGATGTTCACATTTTCTTCAAGACCATCAGCATAGATGCAAATTAGAACAAAAAAAAAAATCCCAACAGGACTACCCTGGACACTTTTGTAGCTCAATCTGATTATTTCACTGTTTATTTCAGCTTATGATCTGTTTAACAATCTTTTCCAGCAATGCAGCTTCTTCCCCTTGAACGCTGATTTTGAGCACTCAGGTCTTAGAGGTGAAATACATAAATTGCACTGAAATTATGAGAAAGTCTCGAACGGTAAAATGCTGCTGTAATACATAATTGTTTGAATTGTCCTCATGGCTCCACTGTGTTATTTTCCATCTATTTTATCCCAACAGCATAAGCACATATATCAAAAAGCTGAAACAAGTCGGAATCGTGACCGTCTCCTCCTCCCCCATGTCCTGTCAGTTTCTTCATCCCAGATTAGTGTCTGTTGGCTTGGGAAGCAAAGAGGGAGCAGATGGACCACAAAATGAGATTCTGTAACCTTCTTACCCAATAGATCTGCTTTCTGCGCGTATTCAGACATATTTACTTACTGTAGTGACAATTATCAGTTTTATTTCTTTTAAGAAAACCAAACAACTTCAGCTCAGTATGAAAGAGAGCAAACTAAATTGTCTTCTGGCACCGTTACCATCCATATATTTTTAAATCAATTAGGAGTTATGTGGCTGGATTCCGATCTGTGTTATACCTGAATATGCCCATTAATTCCATGGGTATGCTTAGGTATAAGGGGACAGACACAGTATGTAGAGTCTGTGGACTCTAGAGAACTTTTTATTGTTCCTAGCGGAGGTCAGAAGAGCACAGTCGTTTATTTCCCGGGATTTTTTTTTTAATATACTATTTGGATGGCCAGAAGAAGCATCTTTTTACTTGCAAATGAAGAGAGTTGGATACAAAAGTAAGCAAATAATAATAACTACAAAGCTTCAAAATGCATCACATAAAGAATTCAGTTTATTCTGGAGCTTGCCTCTCTCCTATGCCTCATTTGAGACGCACCCATTCAGAGCACTGGATGTTTTAAATGAGAGGAAATAAATGTAGCTGACTAGTGTTTGATTAAGGTATAGCTGAAAATGAAAGCATCTCCCGGCTTTCAGCCATGCAAGGCATCAATGCAACCGTACATACATTGAGCTTATCCTGAAGACCTGCTGTTAGTGTGATATCCGACCAGCAGCCAAGGTCTGCAGTTAGACGTCTCATACGAGCAAAACGTTGCGTGTCTCGTCTGGGACAGGAGCTACCAGCCCCGAAAACACTGAGCTGGGTGCCTCCAAAGAACAAATCATCTCTATGCCTTAGGCAGCTAGTCTAGGACAAAATAAATCTCCTTCCAGATATACCCGACCTCCCACTGTTGACTATAAAAAAAACCTCTAGGAAAAATCTTAGAGCAGACACCTAACTTTTAGATGACTCGGGCTGGATGCGGGGAGTCCAAATATATTGCAACAATGCATTTGGCCAAATACGTTGTGACAAGCTCCTGCACCAAAAAAAAGTGCCTTGGCTTCTCATGCTGAGCAAATGGGACTTGTCCAACAAGTGTATGGCACACACACAGCCACGCGCTGGAAACGCCGGGTATCTTCCTTAGGAGGAGAAAGGAACGTGTCAAACCTAGCGATTAGGACCTGGAGTTTTAGGAGTTTTAGGTAATGGGGAAAATAAAACCCAGAGGTAGAGACTTTGTGTACAAGAATTGCCTGGCTGCCTTCTATGCACGAGTGCATTGCCAAGAGCTGCAGGTGTTCAATCAGACTGCTTTTATTTGAGGTGCCTAATGTGGATTTCGAAACTACCACGTAGGCAACCCGGCTTGAAAATTGACCTTAATTTCTTCTAATTGCATGTCTTATTCTTCATTATTTTTCTTGTTAGAGACAGAATTTTGAAAGGCGATTCACTAGTGCAGCTATTTTTGACTCATCGCTGACTTTGTCTTACTTCGTGTTATTTAATGGGTTCCAGTGGCCATATGCTGCAGAGAATCCTGGAACAAAGTGAGTAAACTGGGAGGCATTGCTCGGAAGGATAAATTT